CTACGTATTTTTATGGACCTTTATTTTTCAAAGGAAGCGTTAAGAGGATGTATAAAAATGTCTATGAGAAATCTTTCAGGAAAGTTTCCTACTTTGTTTTCAGAAAAACCCTCTTTGAAAAATAGAGGTCCATGAGTACGTGTAAATACCAGATACCGATTTAGTGTTTCCTCTTTTTTCATACGTTTTTCAATGAAATAATGTTGCAGAGCTTTAATGGTGGTGTGTGTGTTTTATTACATATTTTTTTTACATTTTTGTACGTTCTAATGTTTATAAATTTGAAATAATTATATCTAACTTTTGCAAATATAGAATATCATCTAGTTATCGGGTTGCCAAGCCCGGATAATAGAACAAAGCGTAAAAATATATTCTAATAAGGTTAATTCCCTGAAATGAGTCTTCCAATATCTTCTGTTCAAGATTCTGAGGGCATAGTAGAGTGTGTTATTTTTTTCAAATACTCAAATAACTTTTGTTTTCCCAAAAGAAATTTATAAAACTGAAACCGCCCTATAATAAAAGACGAATCTATGGTGCAATAGGTCGGCATGACCAGATGGTTAGGGCGCTTTACTCGCACTCTGAGAGTCGCTGGTTCAAATCTCCATCCCACCAAACAAGCTCGCCCTTTCAGCCATGGGGCGTTATAATGTTATGGTCAATCCCACTATTCGTTAGTAAAAAGTAGCCCAAGAGTTGGCGGTGGGTGGTGATGACACTAGCTGCCTGCCCTCTAATCTTCCACAGCTAAATTAGGGATGGCTAGCGCAGATAGCCCTCGTGTAGCTTTGCGCGAAATTCAAACAAAACCCAAACTCTGGTCCAATGAGATGTCTTCTCTAAAATTCAACTAGGGAGACTACAACCAATCACTAAGTTTCAATGCAAAAACAATCAGAGTAGTAATATTATGAAGCGAAATTTTGGGACTTTTGTAATGTATCAGTCTTGATACGGATTATAATTACTGTGAGAAGCACCTTTGTTAATGATTCAATATGACAGAAAGCTTTTTTTTTTAGAAGACTGGTCCATTTATTAGTGGTGTAAAAACGAGAATAAAGAAAATCACTGCATTCAGCATTGTGCGCGAAGGCATCCTTCACCTAGGACTGGAAGAAATATTAGAAAAAAATTCCAAACTGACAATAAAATTTCACAATACATGTGTATCAATTTATACACGAAAGTCACACATTCTACGAGAATTGGAACGTACTTCAAATCAGGAATCTCACAGGAAGCCAGCTGAATACTCAGCCTTTGACTGCAGCGAGAGCTGTCTTATTTGTGATGATAAGTACATGCCAAAAGACTTTAAGAACCCAAACAGCTGGGGACGTGTTGTTCAGTGCAGAACTGTGAAAGTAACGCAGCGGATACTAGAAGTATATGATGAAAAAAAAAGGTTGATCTGGCATCAGTATTTCAAGCGAGACATTTCTGATAGTCTTCTCTTTCTCGTTTCCTTTTTTGCATCTCCTGATGCCAGTCTTTGTCATTCGAAGCATTCTTCTCAGCAATTTCGAAAATAATTTAATTTCTGCAAAACATCCCATCGAAAATTCCTTCTGGCTCGCGAAGTAATTAATGCAAGTTGAAGCATCAATTTAGACCAATTACACTCCTCTTTCTCATAGTTGAAACAAACAAATTCTCGAATACTTATTCTAAAGCACACTTATGGCAATTTCATATCAATCTCTTTGGATTCACAATACATTTATTTAATCAAAGAAAATAAAGAACAATACACATTTTTACAATGTGCATTTCTAAAAGTTTTATTGCACTTTTCGAACGAAATATGACACCCAAGTGCAACCAATTCGAAAGTGGGTATTTTACCTTCATTATGCAACTTAGTATATCGTTTTATTTTTCACGACACAATTATCAAAACTATTACAATCTGATAGATTGTACACAAAAATCTCAATAAGTTGAGTTAGAAAATTGGTTAGTAATGTAATGAGAACGAAAACAGGTTCCATTCAAGTGAATGTATTGCTGTTTGTCTTGGTCTGGAGATGTGAAGTCCGGAGTGTCATTCAGGAAGATTTTTTTCGCTTTGTCAGTAAACAGCTCCAAAGTTAATAGTAATTGAGTGTAAAATCATCTATAGTTAAGCACAAAGCTACACAATGGACTATATATGTGCTCTGCCAACCACGGCAGAAATGATTACACTTGCACTTGGACATTGGTTAAACAATAATACTTTTGAATTTGTCTAGCTAACAAAGAGAAGAAAAACAATGTGAAAACAATTTCCTGATAATACGAAACAGCAGTAGCTTTCTATTGTAACAATTCCCATACATTATCTAGTCTCCATGCTACTGTCTTGATTCTTTCCAAAATTTTAGTTTCATTTATTTGACGTTCCTTCAAAGCTCCATCCTAAGAATCTTTACCGTGTCTCGTAAAAAAGATGATTTAAGGACTGTACCTTTATCTTATTGAAATTAATTTAAAGGACTGTACCTTTATCTTCTCCCTAGAATATCTTAACTTATGTGAAAAATTCAACCATAACTACCAAGGGGTAAGATAGATTTATAGAACCCTACCGTTATCCTCTCCTTAGAGTAGCTTAACTTAGGTGAAAAATTCAACCATAACTACCAAGAGGTAAGATAGATTTAAAGAACCCTACCGTTATCCTCTCCTTAGAGTAGCTTAACTTATGTGAAAAATTCAACCATAACTACCAAGGGGTAAGATAGATTTATAGAACCCTACCGTTATCCTCTCCTTAGAGTAGCTTAACTTAGGTGAGAATATAAATCATAACTACCAAGAGGTAAGATAGATTTAAAGAACCCTACCGTTATCCTCTCCTTAGAGTAGCTTAACTTAGGTGAGAATATAAATCATAACTACCAAAAAAGGAAATAGATTTAGAGGACTCTAGCTTTATCCTATCTCTACAGTTAACTTTACTTAGGAGGAAATCTATTTAAGGCTCACGCTGAAGAAACTTTTTACATTAACTTAAATGTACATCAGTAGAAACGTTTCATTCAAATTAAGTATTCAAATTCTGAACTTGCGTTTAACTTTTATGTTACAACATTTGGAATGTTCAGATTCCAAAAGACGTCAGATGTGTATATTCGTGTATTTTTATGGCTAACATATATTCATCGAAAATCTTTCTTTGACATATGAAATGATGCCCTTAAAGATTTATTAGCATATTAGTAACGCATCCCTAGCGTTGCATTACCACATTTTTCGCTAAGATATATTTCAGTAGCAGCTATTTTTGTAGGATATTGTTTATTTTAATGCATAATGACCATATCTTAATGTTTCCTTGACTTTCACCTATCACATACTTTGAGTTTTACATTAAGAATAAGTAAAGTTACCATAAAAGCACTGTCTTTCTGCTTTGCCAAATCTGCTGTACGATATTAGCACTAATGTATATACTGTGAAGTAATTGCTTACTGGAGTCTAAAAAAATCACAGAACCACTTTCTAAAACAACTTTATTCATGCTTTTTTTTCAAGTAACTCGGATTCATAAATCATAAACTATCAGTAATGAGGAAAAGTGGATATTTCTTTAAGGATCATTTATTCCATCGAGAATTCGACTTCCAGTCTCTCTTATCAATCACAGAGAAATGCTCGAAATAAGCTTATAATTTATACTTTATCAGCAGAAACTAGTTATTGTTTGGTTCGTAGAAAGGGTTGTTAAACTTGAAGGAAAAATAAATAAGACTAATTCAGTCATATTTTATGAAATGGTGTTTTTCAAACTGACTCTGGTAAAGTAGATAAAAAATATTCTAAAGTTTTTGTTTGTTTGGAATTATGCACAAAACTACACAATGGGCTATATGTGATCTGCCCACCACGGGTATCGAAACTCGGTTTCTGGCGCTGTAAGTCCTCAGACATACCACTGTGCCAATGGGAGGGGGTGCAACTTCTAAAGAAACGCTGGAAATTTCCCCATAAATATTAAAATGTTTCAATGAGAAGAGCGCATTGGAACACGTTCACCGTTTTACTAAATAAGTTATTAGAGAAAACAGTAATAAGAATGGACTCGTGGCCCTAAGTATGTATAATGTAGCACGTTTACTGATCAATATATCAAATGTTAGTGTGCTATTGGAATCTATCCTAACTTGAAACTTTCTTTTTATGCTGAGAACATTCCAACAAGTACTCTATTAAATTGATGAGCGAGGCTACTAACATTATATAACACAGTCTAGTGATATACTTAATAATTTTTAATCAACTTTAACATTATGTACTCTTTCATTATTTTAGCGCAAAAGCCATATAGCAAGCTATCTGCGCTCTGTCCACCACAGGGAATAGAACCCCGGATTTACTATATTTACTAAAACTTCCTCTTTACTGGCGGCAGTTATCAGTTCCAACATTTGATTAAATAGACATATTCACAATCCGTGTTTGAACGAATTGTAAAATATTTCTAACATTAAATTTATTGAACAATGCTTGCTTTTGTGGGCATTTATATAAGTCTATTTAAAACTCATTCTGTGAGACTTATTCAAGTTGTTTTTATATCGTTTAAGTCAAGTAAACAAATAAATCACGGTTTAAATATTGAAATGTCACTCTTCCTTATTCACGAACTTTATCTAGAAAATATAATACACATTTCACTTTAAATATAATACACACCGCACTTGAATAATGATAATGTTCAGATCAAATTCTGACTTCATGAAATCTAATATAAGAGACAAAATTCTAGAGAATCCTTAAAGGGGGAAGGTTCTAAAGTGATTATATTACTGCATGATTATCTCATTAGATAATAAACTAGGAAACGTTAGTGCAAGAGTTAAGATAAAACTACTTTTATTTAGGGAGCGATATATTTTATAAACAACAAAGAATGAAGTAGAAGAATTATGACATATAAAACTCGATATCAAGAAATTTGGTAAAAGAATTAGAAAAAAAATTTTAATAATTGAGCATACACATTTTCAATGGTAAAATCTCATGTAAAATATGTTGTTTTTCAAGTACTTGTTGAAAATTGAAAATATTTTTTTGCTACATAAGAGACATATATTATGAACTGATACAAGTCTTAGTGAGTAGAAACCCTTAGATAGCAGAGCATGTCAAAAAGCCGGTTGATAATTTAAATTGCGATATACTTTACTGGCTCTATGTGGGTTTTCAGTGAGAAGAGTTTATAACAGTATTTCACCTATACTTTGTTCTTGTGTATGCCGCTGCCGACAAAGCTTCTCTATCAAAATCAGAACTAATTAGGCCAGAATACAGATTATTAGTTGAAATGCTTTTATATCAGCCACCTATAAACCCTCAAGCCTTAAACGTACAAAAATTTAAGTTACTACGTGTATTAGTATGAAAGCAGACATCTTTTTGTACTATAAAAGAACAATAACTCAGTTACAAACAAAGTTTAATATAAAACTGTACCGTTATATTATTAATTATTTTCACAACCTGGTATAATAATGGTTAAAATCATAAAAAGGTTTATCAGATCATGTGTACCTTATTTTTTGTCTATGATAATTCAAGATTACTTTAACTGTTCCACAAGGTTAACCATTTTTTAAAGGCGTGATGGTTTATATCATGATACCAAAAACATACATTTAATCCTACAATAATTAAAGTTAAACATTATAGCATTGTAATGTATCTGATGTTTTAAGTAATGTATTTCAAATGATACAGTTAGCGATATTTAGTCAGTAATTTAAGAGAATAGATTAAAATCCTTATACTTTATACTTTCATTATTGATCATTATTTTCAATTGTGCAAATCTAGAGATTTATAGCAAATTTAACAGTTAAGTATATGTTTCACATGCATAAACGAATATTTTGGATTTTTTGCAACTTTTAACAATTTTTTATATCTTTTTATGAAGGATCTATATGTCATAATGTATATTCTGTTCTATAATCAACTGTGCTCGATTACTGATTGTGCTTACGATGATTTTTGCCGCCTTTTCTACCATCAACAATGAAAAGCTGCAGTTCTGATAATTCTAGTCGTATAAGTTTTCGAATTCCTGTACACTGTTTTATTGGATTTGTTGTCTTGTCATAATCAAAACTCTAAACCGAGTATGTTGAAGATGAAGGGTGATAGTAAATCAGAAGTAAATAGTTGTATTACGCTCTAGTAGCGCTTAGTAAATCGTTGGATTACACTCTAGTAGTGAGTAGTAAATAGTTTGATTACACTCTTGTAGTGAGCATCAATATTAAATGAAAGTAACTTCATGAAGAAAGGTTGTTTTTTATACAGTTGATTATCATTTTGATACAACTGTAAGTTGCCTATTACTTTGGTCAACAAGAAGTTATACCGAGAAGTTGAGGTGGTTATATCTCCATATATTTAAGTAGAACGTTCTAAGCTGTGAGGGAAGTCTTAGAAATTAAATGTATAATTAGTTGGAGAACAAAGATAAAAAAAATCATGTTTAAATATCGTTCAAATTACTCTTGATTCAATTCATTAAGGCCTTTCTTTGCTTACTTGTTCAACTGCAATTAAGGAAACCTCTTGAAATGTGTATAATTTTGAGATCGCGCATCTAAACCTACCAAAACTTAATTTCCAAGATCTATTTATAATGATACAAATCATGGAAAGTTCACAAAGTCTATTGTAATCAGCTGAACCTCAAGGTTTTTGTTTTTAAAGAATGGAGTTTTGTCAACCGTTGAGCGATGGTTATTCTGGTGAGGAATTAAGAAACACTGTCCAGTAGATAGCATTGAGCACCAGAAACAACAAGGGAAAAGCCACGCGAGAAACTTTATCAATCAGAAGGGCCTGTTCTCTTTTACGTTGCATAACAGGAAAACTCACTCTCCTTGTTCCGTTGGGGAGCGGTTCTCCTTCCTATAAGGTCAAGGTTGAAATAGAATTACAAACTCCAACACATCAATGTCAATTGAAAGCACATATATATTTTTCTACAGAATTATATTACAATATCACCATAATTGGGTATTATAGTTGTTTACTTATTTTGTAAACTTTATTAGCATGAACTATATGGTCTATAAAGGCATTTTTTACAATATTGTTTTATTTTAAGAATCGGTGCCTGACCTTGACCTTTAACGTCTTATCAGAAACGTGTAAATAACAGGCAATTTATATTACAGCAACAATCAACTTTCGTTGTGAAACGACAAGTAATTATCTTAACTAATAATACATAATTATTCATTTTGCCTCATTACAAATACTTTAAGCATCTGAAATTAACTCTATGAACCAATCATTGGAAGGATGTTGTGGTTAGCAATATGTACAAAGAATCGGTGTACTTCGGTAATTAAATGCTCGGCAAATGAATAAAGGAGCCTTCAGTTATAATAAATAGCATTATATCGTACTTAATCGCATCTAAATATATTCGGTGCTATACTTATAGAGAGACGACTTAATTAGTACTAAATGTCGAATAATTAGCAGTCATCAAAGTTCGATTTCATCTTTATCGTCAGTTTTAATTAATTCATCGCATGATTTGTTTTGCAACAAAACAAGTTCGTTTTCTTACTTTGAAGATATTAAATCTGTTTTTGTTTAAAATGATATTTTCCGATTAACATAAAGCACTGACTGCTAGAAAAGCGAGAAAACAAGAGTAGAGCCTAAATAACTGAAGTTGTCTTTCTCTATAGAGCTTTACCTGCTTTTCTAAAGACCATTTCACATAATCTGATACTCTAGTGGTTAACTATATTCACATAATCTGATACTTCAGTGGTTAACTATATTAAAATAATCTGATACTCCAATGGTTAACTATATTCACATAATCTGATACTTCAGTGGTTAATTATATTCACAAAATATGATACTCCAGTGGTTAACTATATTCACATAATCTGATACTTCAGTGGTTAACTATATTCACATAATCTGATACTCCAGTGGTTGACTATATTCACATAATCTGATACTCCAATGGTTAACTATATTCACATAATCTGATACTTCAGTGGTTAACTATATTCACATAATATGATACTCCAGTGGTTAACTATATCTTCTTTTTTATAGCAGTTGTACAAGTTACACTTACCGAAACTTTGCTTATCGCCATGACATTAGCCAACCCTCTTTTCACTGCTGAATCTTCTGCTTCTCCCATTAGGATATTAACTAAGGCATATTCCATTAAAGAGCCAAATACGAACACCGTGCATGAAATCATGAAAATGTCAATGGCCTTAATGTACGACACAGGCGGAAGTGACTTCTGCGACTGCGCATGTTGAGTAGACAGAGTCAATAGACTTGTGACACAGAGAGTCACACGTGCAGGAACAGCTTCAGGTCTGATCCAGAAAGAGATCCAGGACATGATGACGATCAAACATGTGGGAATGTAGGTATGAAACATGTAATACCCCACCCGACGTTTCAGAGTAAAGCTAATTTTAATACACGTGAAGTTCCCTGAAATTATCAGAAAAATATTCAACAAAATTAAATATTTAAATTTAAAAGGATCAAAGAGAATGATACACTATATTATAACATATATTAAAATAAACGTTTGGAGGAACAAAAACCATAAAAATAAAATACCTTACTTTATGTTAACTGGTTACGATTTTTTTTTTTTGTTAAAGCATAGCCCCCCGGTGGCACAGCGGTATGTCTGCGGACTTACAACGCTGGAAACCAGGTTTCGATCACCGTGGTGGGCAGAGCACAGGTAACCCATTGTTTTTCTTCTAGCAGAAAATGTAAGAACCAGAAGTATCGAAAACAAACAGTTGGAAAATTCACAACAGGAAATCAGTAATGATGTACTACATGTCGTACTCGGAAGTTTTGAACAGACGCTGTACATCTTGTTATTTATGCTGAAGTGTATCTGGTCTATACTGATGTACTACATGTCCTACTCGGAAACTTTTAACAGATACTGTACATCTTGCTTAATATTAATAAAACGACGTCCATAATGTGTTTTCTCAGTCGCGATTTGTTGTGGCTAGTGGCTGCTTTTGAGTATGTTTAATCAACAATTAGAGCTTAACTTACAACACTCCAACCCCAACCCAAACTCCCCCCCCCCAAAAAAAATAATTTCATAAAGCTGACGTCTGATGAGTTTTTGAGCCATTATTTATTACTTAATTACACCAAACTTTGGACTTAAACTTACTAGTTTCGTTATTAAAAATTAACCTATCAAGTTCGCAAATATCTTATTAAAAATGTAGCTTATTGATTATACAATATTCAGTTTGAGATGTTATTTTAAATTTACACATTATCAAATCTGTAGGCTTAATAATAAATAAAATATAATAAGATTTACTAATAAATTTTATATTTAAGAAAAACATGATTTCTTTAAAACTGAATTCTTGAGAGTTCCATTAACCCTATAATAACACAAGAGATATAAACGTGTATTAACGCTATAAGTCCGATCCTGATTGGTGTAAACAAATTGCATATGTTAGCGGAAAGTGCAAGTGATAATTAATCACTATTAGCCAATTATCTTAGACACTTTTCAGAAAATACAGTAGATTTAGTTATTCTTAGAAAGGGAATCTAAACACATATTTTAATTTAAATGGGCAAAAGTTCAGCAGTAGTTCTAATAAGAGTGGTTCGTAACCTATGGAATTTCTCGTTAGACATGTACCTTGCTTTCTCGTTAAACCGCAAGTCGTGTTGGAAGTAGTTGGTGGCCATACTGAAATACTTTTTAATGAAATCTATACTGTTTTACTTCTAGTTTCATGGTTGTAAAAACTAACAGGGATGAAGAGAAGCAAAAGTTTCTGACCACCCCGGGCTTGTTTTTCAGGGCCCAAAGTGTTTTTTCAGGCTTAAAAGATTTTTAAACCTAAATTCCTGCCACGAATTTGGTTTGGTTGTTCTAATTTCGTTTAAAATGGGATAGAAAAAATGCATCATTTAAAAACAGCGTTTTGCCACTGTTAAAGTGGCATCATCAAGCACCTGCCGTTGTTATTAAATGATGCGTTTTTTCTATCCCATTTTAGCTGTTTTTGAATTTTAAACTTTGTAGAGTGTGGGATATCTCCAACATTTACAGTTCTAATTTCGAAATTCTTCTTTACCAAGAATAAAACCGTTTAGTAAGTTAACCTTAGTATTTCCGTTATCGTTCTAGGTATTAACGAGATCCAAGCCGTAAAATACACTGTTTTAGAGTAAGTTAGGTCATCTGAAAAGCTATTTTAAAGCAACTACTGATTTATTTTTCTTTACAATATTTTTTAAATCATTAAAATCCCTAGTTTTAATGTTCTATATCTTGCCATTTCCACTTTTAGAGTTACCTGGTGGGGAAGGGTGTTCGGGTTCGAAGACTAAAGTTTGATTGTCATGGAAAATTAAATGAAAACGTAGAGCGCTACAACTGTGCTGCATCTAAGTTACTTAAATTAGTTTCAATGCAGAGTAATTTCAGGTGGCGCTGAGTATTCCTGTTCTGTATTGTCGTCTTCAAATTCGCTGATAAGATATGAATTCGTGGAACATATGAGTTATTCGTTCAGATACATGGTTTGGTCTTTGAACTGAGGACGAGATTTAACTTTCTACATGTAAGCCTAAGAACTGTCGTATAGATTAAAATATATACAGTAATACAACCTTTAGCTCGCATCCCTATACATTTGTTATCTTTACATGCCTTTTAAAATGAAATCCAATATTAATCTGCATAGTAGATAGATATTTGAGTAACAATTTGACAAAGTAAAATACCTTGACTACTGCATCAATAGCACGAATATGTACTCTAAGTACACTTTAGTGAGCCAATACTACAGAACGGCCAACCTGTTTATTATTCACTTCACTTAGAAGTGTCCGAAAAAACTGATTCTTCAACATAATATATCAGCATTCATTATTCACAACCATTACTCTTTAAATATTTAACAGCGAGAACACGCTTCGTGTATGTTATTAAAAAAAACTGTAATCATAATTGCATTAACTCATCATATAATATCTTCCCTACTAACTAATGTACGAACTAGACTTATTGTCAAATACTTCATTTTTTAAGAATGAGCTCGGGGAGTTAAAACTGATAGAACAATCTGACTAACTAGCTAGGTATATTGAAAGATCTTAAGGGCATAGTTTCATAAAAATTGTTAAGGAATGAAAAACATAGTTATATGTACAACAATTTTGTTGTTTTTTCTGGAAGAAAGCTGGTTTTAGTTTTATCGAATATCATCGGATTTCCTTTTATCTACTTACCAAATCATAGTAATTAAAACTACAGAATGTGTTAATATATTTATAAATAGATAAAAATATCGATGTCAAGCAATAGGTTCGTATTAAGATGTGAAGTTATTTGTAGCTAACGAACAAAAAAATTCAAAATATAAATTTTATTTTCTAAAAGTAAGGTTTTAATAAGCTGGCATGTGTATCATTGTTGGATGTAGAAAGGGTTACACTTAGTTAACTCAGACTTTTTCATGGTTTTCAGTTTACTGTAGATCTTTCCACTTCTAAAAGTAAGGTTTTAAAAGTTGGCATGTGTATCATTGTTGGATGTAGAAAGGGTTACACTTAGTTAACTCAGACTTTTTCATGGTTTTCAATTTACTGTAGATCTTTCCACTTCCACCAAAGTTCGCCGTCATTTTGCTTTAGTGACCACAGTGTACAGTGAAGAAGAACTCGGAATGGAGTCCGAAGCTTTGTCACCAACAAACACAAGACAGAAACTTCCTCAAATGTCGACCAAACCTTCAAAGAAGAACTTGTTGTGTCGATTAAATTAACTTCAACAATCAAAATCCAGTTGAGAGTCTATCCAAAAAATAATCATTTAGTTAAAAAAAATCGTTTACCTTTACCAGATGGGAGTCATTTTTCTTAATTCACCGGTATGCATTTGTAAGGGAGGAAGTTTGTGAAATCAGTTTATCAATAAGGCAAACACGAAGTGTATAGGTCCAACGGCAAGTATCTTTCATTATCTAATTATATAACTGGGCTAATGAAAGGTAATATAATGTTCAAAATCGAAGTTCTTAGCTTGTATTTGTAAGAAAGGAAGTTTGTGAAATCAGTTTATCAATAAGGCAACACACGAAGTGTATAGGTCCAACGGCAAATATCTGTAAGTGTCTTTTTTTTTAATGAAACATGAAACGAAACTAAATACTGGACCTAAACCAATGTTTCAACAACTTTTAACTATCTTTGTTTTAAAAACTATTGTGTAAAAAAAAACTTAAATAGTAGTACATTTTCCGTTGAACATAATTTAAACACAACCTCCAAGCTTAGTTTCCACCAAGTTATGCTGAGGTAGTACCTTACCTGTTGAATATATTTGAGTACAATCTCTTAGCTTAGTTTCCATCAAATTATGAAAAGGTAGTTTGTTTTATTTAGAGCACAGCCACATTGGGCTAACTGTTGTATCCACCACGGAAAATCGAATCCCGAATTTGTTTAGGTAGTACCTTGCCTGTTTAATATATTTGAGTACAATATCTTAGCTTAATTTCCATCAAGTTATACTCATATAGTTTTGTTTGTTTGTTTTATTTTAGAACAAAGCTACATTGGGCTAACTGCTCTGTCCACCACGAATAATCGAACCCTGGATTTGTTCAGGTAGTATCTTACCAGTTGAATATATTTGAGTACAGTCTCTTAGCCTAGTTTCCACTTAGTTAAAATGAGATGCTACCTTACCTATTGAATATATCTTAGTACAATCTCGTTGCTTAGTTTCCACCAAGTTATGCTGAAGTAGTACCTTACCTGTTGAATATGTTTTAATATAGTCTCCTAGCTTAGTTTCCACCAAGTTATGCTGAGGTAGTATTTTACCCGTTGAATATATTTGAGTACAGTTTCCTAGTTTAGTTTTCACCAAGTTATGCTGAGGTAATACCTTATCCGTTGAATATACTTGAGTACAGTTTCCCAGCTTAGTTTCCATCAGGTGAAGTTGAGGTAGTACCTTACCTGTTGAATATATTTAAGTACAGTCTCCTAGCTTAGTTCTCACCAAGTTATACTCAGGTTGCACCTTACCTGTTGAATATATTTGAGAACAATCTCCTAGCTTAGTTTCTACCAAGTTATGCTGAGGTAGTTCAATAGATTCATCCACCACTAGCGGAACATGTTTCTCCCAGTCAAACACAAGATCATCGGTAGTGTAAGACACTACATCAAAACAGAAAATTGAAATAGGCTGTTAGACATGACACAATTAGTAATGTACATATATAATTTCAAACGCATACATCAAAGTGTGAAATTAAAATTTGAAAAACTTTACAATAAATTAAATATATTATGTGGAAAAAAAGTAAGACAAAAATACAATACCAGAAATCTATATCCAGCCTTTTGATGCTATTTCTTTGTTTAGTTAATTACAGGCTATCGATCAAGATATGAATTTTCTTTTGTTTTCTAGCATCTACAGATAACGTTATTGAACCAAACTTGGGCTACTACTTAGCTTGCCGAACTGATGATCGAAGGTCCATGTATCGCATCCCGTGAATCCTTTATAAGAGTGAAGATAAAATCCTACTATTCCATCACAGTAGCCCAAGAGTTAGCGGAGAATGCTTTTGACTAGCCCTCGAATAGCTTTGCGCGAAATTTAAGAAACAGTATTTCACCAAGCACTCCTAATAAACTATTGTTTTGTTCTTAAAATATTCTCCCAAAGCTACATAAGAGCTACTTGGACAAGTCGTCTTTAATTTTGAATTGATAGACTAGAGGGAAGGCAGATAGTTAAAACCACCCACCGCCAATTGCTGGACTACACTTGACAAACCGAATACTGGGATTTGATTGTCATTCTTATAACGCACCCGCGTCCCCAAAATACAGAATGCTATTCTTTTGAGACGAAAGCGGGACCTGGATCACGGAATCTTAGTCCGGCACTCTTAATCACTGTCCGCTCTCAGCTCTTTTAGTAAAATAATATGATTCTTAAGTGCCCAACATGAAGAGATTTTCAAATACATATATCCCAATCCGTTAGTCTTGGGTAGAATCAGAAGTGACAAGTTAGGATGTAATATGTATTTCATAGATATAATTTTTCTAAAAAAAGGCATTATGTGTACTTTCCGATTTTAATCCTTTTTCATACTATCTTTACTTCTTCTTTATGTTTTAATTTTCACTGTGTTACAAATATTGTGTCGCCCTTTTTAGAAACTTTGGTAGGAACATTTGACATTATAAAATTTAGCATAAGTAAACAAATAAAATAAAACATCCTTCAATACAGTTAACTTTAGTTACATCATTGGTGAAGTGACGGCAAAATTTCATTAGGGGAGTCAAACAATACAAAAATGTACAGGTTAAAAATAGATATGAAGCCCAATCTATGATTCGATTCGCCGCTTGTCACAGGGTTACACTGGTTTAGGGAAATTCAGCCCTCATCGGTAACCTTGAACAACAACAAATTGAAATAACAAAACAAGGCTGTGTAGTGTAAATCGTATATATTATGTGTTAGTTGTATTTTGAAGAGTAAAATAGAACTGGAAACACCATACATACAATGTACAAATTTGTTTAAATAGTAATTAACATAAAACTGGGAAATATTAAAGAAATAGAACAGAAAGAACTTACGACTTTCAATTTTTAATGAGCACGTTTGAGTGTCATGTGGATAAGTTTCAAATTTCATTGCACAGGATAACAGCAGAGTTAGCCTATAAAAGTAATAATGATTAGCACTAATAGAAAATTGACAACGGCAAAGATAGCCTACAAAAGTAATAAAGTTTATCACTTGTAAAAACACACATGAAGCAAAGTTAGCCTACAGAAGTAATAACAATTAGTAGAAATAAACAAGAAACAAAAATTAACTATGGAAGTAATAACAATTACTAGAAACAGACAAAAAACAAAAACTAACTATGGAATTAATAACAATTAGTAGAAACAGACAAGAAACAAAAACTAACTACAGAAGTAATAACAATTACTAGAAAAAGACAAGAAAAAACTAACTACAGAAGTAATAACAATTAGTAGAAACAGACAAGAAACAAAAACTAACTATGGAAGTAATAACAATTAGTAGAAACAGACAAGAAACAAAAACTAACTATGGAAGTAATATCAATTACTAGAAACAAACAAGAAAAAACTAACTACAGAAGTAATAACAATTACTAGAAACAGACAAGAAACAAAAACTAGCTACAGAAATAACAATTACTAGAAAGAGACAAGAAACAAGAACTAACTACAGAAGTAATAACAATTAGTAGAAACAAACAACAAAAAACTAACTACAGAAGTAATAACAATTACTAGAAACAGACAAAAAACAAAAACTAACTATGGAATTAATAACGATTATTAGAAACAGACAAAAAACAAAAACTAACTATGGAATTAATAACAATTAGTAGAAACAGAGAGGAAGGAAAAACTAACTATGGAAGTAATAACGATTACTAGAAACAGACAAGAAACAAAACTAACTACAGAAATAACAATTACTAGAAACAGTCAAGATAAAATTAACTACAGAAGTAATAATAATTACTAGAAACAGACAAGAAACAAAAACTAACTACAGAAGTAATAACAATTACTAGAAACAGACAAAAAACAAAAACTAACTACAGAAGTAATAACAATTAATAACAGTAACGAAGCAAAGTAATGAACAGAAGTAATGAAGATTAGTAGAAGCAGAGTTACCCCTACAGACGTAACCACAATGAATATAAACAGATATTGATGTTAGATTTCGTGTAGTTTTAAATACTCCTCTTATGACTTTTTACATAAAGAATGTAGCATCCTATGTTTGTATAACTTTGCGCAAAATTCAAAACAAACCAAACCCAATCTCAATACATCCTTATGGTCTGATTTTACCAATACTTTGCTTTGAAATGGGCTGTAAAAAGTGGTTAGTTTTTTATCACACCATACCTACGAAATGACAAACAATATCTAAATGTAGTTCTAATACTTGCCGTACGTTATATCGCTTGTGGTTGTCATATAACTTGCTGATTTGCTCATTCAAAACCATTTTAGTATAACGTACTCAACCCTTTATGTGTTTGTGTTATGTATCTATCTGATGAGTGAGTTCGTCTCGATCCAGGTATTTCCAGTGATGCCATTTAGCGTACTTGAAACCATTTCTACGATATTCTTTCCTCTTAAAGTTGAACAAAGATTGTTTTTTCTAGTACTATTGTCTATTATAAAAGCAAATTACAAAACAAAACTAGGATTGGATTTTTTTATACGAAAATTTATTCGTGTTCGGATGAGTCGGTTTGACGCACCTGTTGTACTTCTTGTTTTATTGTATTGGGAAAACCAAATAATGTTTTTTTTTGTTTAAAGTTAAGCACAAAGATACACAATAGGCTATTTGAGCTCTGCCCACCACGGGTATCGAAACCCAGTTTCTAGCGTTATCCGTCCGCAAACATACCGTTGTGTCACTGGGGGCACCAAATACTGAACAACTTTCTACAAACAAACAACTTCTGCAAACAAAATATACTATTTTTATTTGTGATTTGTATTTGAATTCACAGCTTCGAAAATATTTCTTTTTTTAATAACTTAAAATGTTTGCCTGTGTTGTAGATTTTAATTATTGATTATTAAAAACTTTCCTGTAAAATGTATATTTTATAAAACTGTAATCTTATCTGTGTCGTTCACTTGTGTGTGTGTATTTGCCGATAGAAAAGCCACATCGGGCTATCTGCAATGTCCACCGAGGGGAATCGAACCGTTCATTTTTGAGTTGTAAATCCGAAGACTTATCGCTGTCCCACCAGGGGATACAGTACCGGGTAAACGGTAAGTTTAAGAACTTACAACGCTAAAACCAGAGTAGTGGAAAGAACGCAGACTGCCCACTGTGTAGCGTTTGTGCTAATACAGTAACAGGTTATTTTGTTTTGAAATGAAAAACACTGCATGCAGTTTCACATCGTTTACGATTATTGGCGTTCGATAGAAATACCTTTTTTACCATACGTACATTTTAAACGAACTGGCTTTTGTATATATATATATGATAAAGATTTCTGTTGAAAAAGAAAGGAAATATTGAACACATATATACAATCATTAAACAGTTGGTCCGCTGTACAATATTGAATAATGAATTCGACGAAGTGTCATAACACTAGTCACAAACCTAAAGTAATTTAGGTTACTGTATGGTTAAGTAAAACGGACTCAAACCAACATAGAAACTGGCTTTTGGTTTTAAATTTTTAGTTAGAAAGTAAAATTCATATTGTGATAAGTTTTTAACCCGTTTTATGTTTACTTATATATTTGTTTTTACATTTCTTTTCAGTGTAACTTCCTACTTGCTTCCATAAAACTGTCATCTCTTCAGACACGATCAGAACTTTTGATCTCATCTGCTAACAGCTCTTGGTACTCTAATAAAAGCTATAACACTATATAAATATCCTTCCTCGAAAATGGTCTGTAACACATTCCTCCAGCAATATGTTTCTATATGAATATCCTTCCTCAAAAATGGTCTGTGACCAACACATTCTTCCACGAAAAGGTCTGTGATACATTCCTCCAGCAATAATTGTCTATCCGTGGCAAATGGTCGGAGTTTGGTCGTGAAACAAATAATTATCCAGGAATGGCCAAACGCAACTATGTGCCACAGTAACTAAAAATAAAAAAGTGAAAACTGTATAATTGCTTTTGGCAAACCCTACTTAGGGGCTAAACATATCGTTGGGGCGCCATGAGTCGCATCTACAACGACATGACACTGCAAGAGAGCGTGCAAATCGTTTTCATAAATTGTCACCCTGTATAAAATACTATAAACTATACAAAAGGAACAAAAAAGGCTGTTAAGTTAATGACCACTGGTCATATATTAGAATAAGGTGGATCTGTTCAGAAAGATCAATTTCTACAAAACAATGACAACGATAGAAATGTGTCCTGCTAATATTCCTTTATGTCGTTTTTAAACGCATTGATGCCGTTTATGTTTAAGTATTACCCTATATAACTAAATCGATAACATAGGGAAGAAATTATAAAATGAACCACGTCTGGGACGACGAAGATAAGGTTTATGACCCTTAAAAAGTTACCTTACACTAAACCCTCTTGTAGGAAGTGGAAGAACGCACTTTCATCAACGTTAAATCTTGTCATCTCCGGCACATAAAAGAAATGTTTTCTCGCTGATTTTTATTTGAAATAAAGTTGAAAGTCAAAAGTTCAAAACACTTTGAATTTAGAAAGGGAATTTTGGGAAAACCTTCAAAATTATTTACTCAAAATGTTTTTGAAATATGGAAGAAAAAAAGTAAGGGAGTAGTTGAAAGAAAAACCTAAGGAAATTTCGATTACAACGGTTAAAAAAAATTACATATTTCAATGAAAATTCAAAGACATTCATCTTAAAAAAAAGTGCACATGGGAAATTTTTCAGACAATTTGTCCACAGCGGAGGAATCGAACCCCGGATTTGATCGTTGTAATTTCGTAAACTTACTGCTATCTCAGGGGGGGGGGGGTATATGTTCCATACAAGATAACGGATGACTTCGTAATTATTTTACAAACATACAGTACTGCATATTCATATCGCAGTATAGAGTTCGTGAGGTATTATTAATACCAGCGTGTTGTTGTTTTCAGTACTAAAACTAGATAATTGAAACGATTAAAATAATCTTACTTCACCATATAGAGAATGGTTTTATCGTAGTACAGCCAGATGTAGTGATTGGGAATGGTCATTTCTTGGAAAGTGACTTTCTTAGCGTTCTTGAAGAAAGAGTCTGGTCTCCACATTTGTTTTAACCAACTTACAGGCAGGAGACGGTAATATGTTGTCATGTTTTCTGGGAGTCTTAATCGGTAGTCCTTCCAACTCTGGGACATAAAAATATCTGCCACGTAGGTCTAATTAAACGGAAAAAGTATTAATATGATTAGAAAACAATTAACCTCAATATATATATATGAGTATATAAACCACATGAAAATTGTACAGGGTAGTCTAAAATGATCTTTCCTATTTTAAAATTTAATAACTAAATCACTAAAGAAATACATCCTTGCAATTTTCATAAACTTGTAGCCCAACTCAAGCAGTTTTTATTGAAATGTCAGTAGACTTCTACGTGTACACCATTGGTGGCTCTCAGCACGTCTAACCGATATTCAGTTTCAGTCCACGTTCACTGCAACACTTCCACAGTTACAGTGGCGATGGTATCCGTTATCCTGGTTCTTAGCTCCGTGATGTTTGCTATAGATATGTGATACCCGATGTCCTTAACATACCCCAAAAAAAGAAATTTAGTGGAGTGATGTCTGGCGAACGCGGATGACGCAGAATTGGTCTACCCTGCAAACTAAACGACTTATTGAGACCTTTCTTGCGCAGTTGCCATTTTATGAGGTAACACCACTCACTGGAGTGAAAAAATACAACAATGAAAATTGTTTCAGCTGGACTACAAGATGTTGAAAACTGCATCGTTGTATTTTTGTTAGTTGTTTAATTATTCAATTTTAAAATAGGAAATATAATTTTGAACCTCCATGTATTACGTTGATAAACATAAAGTGTACTTTTGTACTTTCGTCGTGTATGACAGTTGACTGGTTGGTAGTAGAGACTTAAAAAACGGTAATTCGTAAAAACCGTATAATAAGTAAATACTACTAAAATACCATTTCTGAATCTTGTAAAAATTATATAAATTCATGTGTTAATAGATTATACTATAATTGGTTGAAATCGACCCAATCAGAAAACGTGAGAACAGTATAAAGCCCATATAAGTACAAGATTGTGTAGTATACTAAGCAGTAAAGAAGGGGCAACTGAACTAAAATGTTAAAATGGTCATCGAACCACAAACAATGGAAAGAACAAAACTGGAGATTTGCACTCTTTATAGATGAGCCCAAGCTCGAATTTTTGGTCAACAATCAATGACAGTTTGTTCGATAAAGGAGAAGAGAAATGTACTACATCTACAGTGGATTATTGGGAGGATCAGTATAAGTTTGGAGCTGTATCTCAGCTAGCAGTGATATACAGAAAATCAATGGAACATGACTGCCCGAAAAATACAGCAGATTCTGATCCATTATGTCGTTCCCTTAGAAACACGACCCATCGGGCGGGGATTCATCTTTCAACAATACATTTGTGGTAAACATACAGTAAGTGTGGTGAAACGATAACTCGAAGGTCTATTATTGCAGAAAAAAAAATAATAATAGTGAATAAGTTGAACACTGTGCTACTAGTATTTTGTATGTGTGAATACGTTGAACACTGTACTTGTAGTATTTTGTATGTGCGAATAAGTTGAACACTGTACTAATAGTATTTTGTATGTGTGAATAAGTTGAACAATGTGCTACTAGTATTTTGTACTTGTGAATAAGTTGAACAATGTGCTACTAGTATTTTGTATGTGCGAATAAGTTGAAAACTGTGCTAGTAGTATTTTGTATTTGTGAATATGTTGAACAATGTGCTACTAGTATATTGTATTTGTGAATAAGTTGAACAATGTGCTACTAGTATTTTGCATGTGAGTCCTTTGGTTTGCTAAAAGGATACCATCTTTTTTCATGTTTCAGTACATGTTTATCAAGTATGATTGTCAACTATTGTTCCACATGTTCTCCTTTACTCCCCACACGTCAGCAATGTTATCTGGTCCCCATTTGATCTCTCAGTTTTTGTGTAAGCCGAGACAGCCTCGATAATGTTTATTTCGGAACGCCCCTCAGTGGCACAGCTGTATGTCTGTGGGCATACAAAGCTAGAAACCGGGTTTCGATACCCGTACGGGCAGAGCACAGATAACTAAATGTGTAGCTGTGTGCCTAATTAGAAACAAGAAACAAACATTTCGGAACTGTGTGCAGCTGAAGCCATGGTTATGAGTATTCCACCGATTTGTGTTTTGTACCATTAATAAATTCACCATCTAGTGGTTTTTGACCTCTGTATGTATATCTCTTGTGTTTCCATAATTATTTCCATTACTGTATCTGTGAGTAATAAAATGTTCCAATGGAAAATAAGAACACAGGTTTGGAGGATAACTGATTAATATTATAAAAATCACAAATAGCGGGAAGACTGACACAATTTTTATCCTGAAGACACTTTATTTATTTTTTAAGGAGCAAACATCATGGTAAAGTTTCATTGGCTTATATATATATATATCTTTGTAACTAAGTAATTCCTATCTTATTTTATCAAAGTTAAGTTATTTAACGAAGAAACGATCGCTATGTTAATTATAAAAAGAAACATGTATTTAATACAGCGCCCTACCATTGATCCTTCATCAACGGAATCCAGACTCAGTACAGTAACATGGAAGCTAACAATTGTTGGTTCTCCTGCAAGTGTACAATAATCGAATTAAAACAACATGTTATCAATTATAGATTCAGAGAATACATTTTACGGGCTCTGATGACAATGTAACTATTGTAATTGGTCGTACACACAGTATTAAGTAAATTATGATTTTTTTCCGAAATCATATATTTAGTATCTGTTCTCTCTATTATTCGAAATAATATGAAATGTCAGCGTATGATTTTACGTTATATTTCATAGCCTAGCTGCCATAACATAAGAACTGTTACAAAACTATCAAAAAAATGAAGCGAAGTACAAACTACGGATTTTGAGGGCGTTATAATGTGACGGTCAATCCCACTATTCGTTGGTACAAGAGTAGCTCAAGAGTTGGCGGTAGGTGGTGATGACTAGCTGCCTTCCCTCTAGTCTTTCACTGCTAAGTTAGGGACGGCTAGAGCAGATAGACCTCGTGTAGATTTGCTCAGAATTCAAAACAAACTAAACCAAACTACGGATTTAACACAAGGAACTCAGAAGATTGACCACAAATTTCAAATGCAGGATAAAAACAGTTCATATGATTTGTTAATTCTTTTAATGCACAACTAATTCTTCGGTCATGATAATCAATTTTAGAATTGCTTTTGTTTCAAAGATTATCCTTAATAATATAAGTTACTTGAGTAGAATTTTTTCTGTCGACTGGATTATAAAGAAGAACAAGACTTTCTAGGTAAAACAATATCAAAAACGACCCCCCCCCAAAAAAAAGATAACTTATATTTGTTTTTCCTAATGATTGGTAATGTCATTGCAGTAGGTTCATCGCGTGTTTCATTTATCTTATATTTCCAGTTAAGTCTTAATATTACTTAGGACAGATTAGATAGTTTTGGGCACAAGTGCGTAATACAAAATAACTAAATATATCACTGAAGCTAATTAACCTTAAACCTAACTCAAACTACATACGAAACTTATATTGTCCACAATTCTTAAGATCTTTCATTAATCAAACTTGTTTAATGAAATCAATTGCTGATGACTTCCACGACGTAGTGCATCTATTTAAAACAAAAGAAAAACAGAAAAACATGTTACAACTTTGATTTCAGATAATTAAAAAAATGCTTATGATTTAAGTGAACAAAAACTATGAATTATTTCAATACCATTTTCCTTGGGTGGTTGAAGCCTATCATAATCTTTGGGATTTTCCGGAAGAATGCCGTCAAAGTCCAGATTCTCTTGGCTCAACCCAGAACAGAAACCAAATATAAAACTAGTAAGCATGGTTTAGTTATTCAAAGACAATTTTACATATTAAATAATCAATATTTATTACTTTGTAAATCATGGTGAAATGCCTTATTAAGATCATGTTTTGGAGATTTGCATACATAATTTATCATTTTGAATAATTAGACGTGTTCAGACAAAACTTAAAATTCTTAAGAATTTAGACAAATAACATCATAAGCCTAATACACTTTCCTCCAAATGATTTATATAAAAACTATACTTTAATTTTATGTTAAATATAATACAAAAAACGCGATCTTTTGTTGGGTTTGTTTCTTAGGTAACAGAACAACGCACAAATACTAAAATGATCCACAAAATAACTTCATTTTATTTATAGAAAACAAAACAAAAACCCCAACCGATCCCACTAAATCCATAGAAATGAACACGGTTCTAACAATTAATTTAAAACATAATAATTTGTTTAATAGCTGAAACATATTCAAATTATCAATGACCAATGGAAAATCATTTCGTTACAAATACGAACCAGCTAGTTCGCCCGGGAACGCAATTTCCGTAAAAAGGCTACATATGAGAGCTTCCACGCACAACTTAATTACAGCCAGTTAATTCCAAGTTGACAAAATGTTTTGTCTTCGTGTTGTGAGTACATACCTTTCAGATGTTACAATAAGTAATTGCAACAACACAAAGTAAATAACTTGTTGCTCCATCATCCCTGTCCATACGTTCTTCCGGTAAATTACCTGAAACACGAAGCCCCCAATTTAACCAAATATTCTAACTGTAATTTCCAAGAAAACTAAAGTCTACAACAGTCAACAAAGTCGAAATACGTCTATATATGCCTAAGCATCCTCACTGGGTATCCAGTGCAATTTTCCAATGAAAAAGAAAGAAAAAAACTCAGATTACCATTCAGAACAAGTACAAGTGTGTATTTGAGGTTATCTCTTTAAAGCTTTTTTTCTTTGCCAACAAACGTTAAAAATATCTTACTTAACTTGTTATCTATAAAGTATGAATAGCATGTAACTTTAAAAGATTATTGGCTCATTTGGAGGTTAGTTTCTTTCCAACCTTATAATCCTTAACTGCCTTCTCCAAATAGCTTACAGCTATAGTATATAAATAGTTATTTAGTAGGATGACTCTTCAATAGAAATTACGGAAAACTTATTTATACGCTTCAAGATTAGAGCATGTATATTCTCAAGAGTACAGCCATCGATTATCGGTGTTGATAATATTTCTTTAGCTGGGTCTATAGTCACTGATTTTCTTGGTCGAATATATTCGTATTTTAAGACTAGGTACTAAAACTTATTATATTCTAACAGTGGTTCATAATGATATATATATATATATATTTCCAATCACGAACATTGACATGGTTTTAGATGTTAAAATTATTCATTGTATCAACCCTGGACCACGAACATGTAACCGAACAATGGAAATACAAAACCACACAGATTGTGTAAAAAATCAAATAACCGATTTGTCATTTCTTATCAGAGTACATTCACACAGTTGTTAGAATAATGATGATCCAACAATTTTATACGATGATTAAAAGTGGATATTATGAAATAACTAATGTGTAAGATTCGACACAATATTACTGTTTTGCTCAAAATATCTACCTACAAAGAACAATATTCTGGATTATTGTTTATCTTTTTCTGAAAATCCTTGGAAGACAGTTCAGTTAGAATTACAATTAAAATATATGTAATAGAACAAACGCTTGTAAGTTTCATAATGAGTATCAAAACCTGCTTTTAAGCATGAATAAGCTCACAGTCTTGCCGCTGTGCCATTGGTTGGCTTTGTATGTGTATGACTTTTAGTAGTGTTTCAACATTAATCTTCGTTACTGAAATAATTAATTATAGAATTACGTTGTGTTGTTCCTTTACTTAGGATTTAATTATATTTACAGTCGCGAATCTATACCAAATCGATTAAAGATTGCGCAGTTCTTATATCTTCTATTATATATTTTGAAATATTTTACATCACATTTCTGGAAAATAGATACAAGCTAATTATTTTGTGTTTATATTCCTTTCTGAAAAACAAAACGCGAATAAACAAAATTGGTAAATAGTAAAATGTAATTACTGAACACACTTATTAAAAGTTTTACATCAAGAACTGAACTTGAAAGATACCTTTGATAAAGAAAAAAGGAAAAAAAAAAAAAACGAATAAACCTGAAATCTCAGAACGTGAAGAAACATCTAGTAGATTAATAACAAAAAAGATAATACTTGTAAAGTTTGAGGCTTTCATCTGATATATGTACATTCTGGAAATACTCTACAGTCTCACTAATGGATCAGTAATAATATACATTAACCTGGAGGGAACATTTACCCTAAGTAATAGGAGATGGTGAAACCAATAACGGCTATAACTATTAGCAACTCTTGCTCAATTATTATGCACTTATCACAACCGTGCATAAATAGTTCATTAGTTATTGTTTTTTTAAATATAGGTGGGGCGATACCACAGTAGATTAGTGAACTAAATAGATTGTTTGTTTATTTTTGTAATTAAGCACAAAGCTACACAATAGGCTATCTGTGCTCTGCCCACCACGAGTATCG